TCTATTGTGTTTCTTCAGCATCCCAAAATTCCATTGACCTGTTCGCTGTGGTGACCCCTGCAAGGTAAAGTGACCTCGATTGCCTCCCCCCCAAAAACCTGGACGCTGTATCCTTTTTTATACCAAAGGGGGAGGTTTCCTCTAACAACTTGGTGGGCCCACATCAACACTTGTTTTAGGAGAGCATTAAATCCATAGGGTCATGGGTACCTGGGCAAGCGAGCTATGGCACCATAAACCCAATCAGTATCACCACACCCTCCACTGAAATAGCATCACTCAGTCCATTAGGGGTGTCATGGTTTGGGTTGGTAATGTCCTCAGACCCTCACTGAGGGCCCGGGATCGTTCCGGCACGGGTGAAATGTAGCATGTTACCTGTGCCCCTGCTCACCTAACTTAAAATGGGACCTGGGTATTAGTTTTTGTTATTATTTTTTTTTTATTTTATTATTATTAAAATTTTATTATTATCTAGAGTGTTCAAAATTTTTACTCCAGTTATTACTGTCGCCGCACTAACTCAAACCCTGATCACACTCTCCACTAACATCCTATTAAAAATCCCATAAACCCCCACCACCACCCCCATCACCACCCCCATTAACGTCAACACAACCACCACCACTAACTCACAAAAAACCACCCCTAACATCACAACCACCATCACCCCCACAACCAGTCCACCCAGTAAAAAATTTTTATTTTTTGTAGGAAAACCCCAAAACCTACCTGCTGGGTTCGGCCAAGGTTCATATGTGGGGGTTGTCACTGGACTTACCTTTTCCCCCGCTTGGACTTCCAAAACCCCCACCTCCCTCATTCTCAGGATCCTACAAATATGGGGAAAACAAAATGCTGCTTTTCTACAAAGCCCTTGATTTTAAATTTATGGAAAATGTAAATACCCGGGAAACATTCTGTAACTCCTTTAAAATTGGGAAATTTAAAAAAAGGTAGGGGGGGGATGCTAGGATTTTTGTTTTTAGAGTGGTAATCAATGAAATAATTACAAAGGATGTATTAAATGTTTCGCCATTGGATTTTAAAAAAAAAACAAAAGATAGATAAAAGAAAAACCCCAAAGTAATTTGTCCTGTACCTACAAATAATTACAATTATTACATGGCAGTACAAATTTTGTTTAATTAGTACAAATTTGGCTGACTTCTGGTATTAGGCCCAAATATTATTATTATTATTTTTTTATTATTTTAAATTTTGAAATTTTCAAATTTTTTTGGTTGCTGGAGTCAAGCCCCACCACTGAACTTAACACTTGCCGATCACCTTTCTAGTTCTTGGGGGCCCCATAATGACTTATTCTTAAAAAAATGTACAAGTCTGCTCCACCGGGTTTTTCAAGATAATTTTTCCACTTCCTTTAACACCTTGAGACGAAGAATACTTGGACATCCTTGTAACTCTCTGTGTTTTTAGCTACAACTATTTAATGTTACTGATTTCGTATGCCGAAAAGGGATTTAGAGGTCTGGTTATATAATCTGAAACCAGACAACAGTGCATAGTGTTTGCAATAAAGCAAACAGAATCCTTTGGCTTCATATCAAGAAGCATAAATAAAGAAGTCCTCAGGTTGTCGTCAACCTCTTATGTATCTTTGGTTAGCCTCATTTAGATCATGCTGGCACAGTTCTGTTACTGTATTACAGAAATAAAATAAATATGTACACTGGAAAACATACAAAGAAATTGGCACAGTTGATCCAGTGTATCAGAAATCTTCCCTATGATGACAGACTGAGGGCCCCTGAATCTGCACTCTCTAGAAGGTGTTGAATTAGGGGGGATATGATTAAGGACTATAAATGGAAACAGGAATAAATAAAGGGAACGTAAAATAGCGTGTTATAAATATCCAGCCAAGATAGGACACGCAGCATGGTTTCAAGTGGGAAAAGATTTGTGGGATGAGTGGAAACAAACTCCCGATACCATCATAGAAGCTAAAACAGTTGGTAGTCTTAAAAATAGGTTTAGATAAATACATAATGTGTGGGGGTGGGCGTGAGTTGGACCTGACTAGCTTGTGCTAGTAGGTCTGATGCCGTGCCTCCGTCCTTAAGTGATGTGACTTGGTCCAGATAAGGTTGGTCAGTGGCATAAGCTGGTAGGTCAACTGGACCTGCCTCGAATGGACCAGTAGGCCTGCTGCAGTGTTCCTAGTTTCTTAATGTTCATTGTCCCTGATTATCTATTACCTCCTCTCAAACAGCTTTGTCCTTGTTGCCTTATTAATTATTTTGGAGTTCTGTCATGTCTACCCATCTGTCCTTAGATTCAATTCCTTTAGCTTTTCTTTGTACCTCATACCCCTTAGCTCTGGAACTAGTCCCAGTGTGTACTTCAGCACTTTCTCCAGTTTCTTAACATGCTTCCTGAGGTGAGTTCAGTGCTGGTGCTTTATACTTCAAGATGGGCTTGATATATGGTGCATAAAGTACTTGGAATGACTTTTTTTTTTGAGATTCCTGAAGGCCAAGCTCAGATTTGCCGGGTGAGCATTGGCTGCAGAGGTTACTAAGTTGATGTGAACCTCTGATATGGCAGGCACTATGCTTACTTCAATAAGGTTTTCTGGCCCTTACCCCAATCTTCATAACCTTGCATTTGCTGGGTTTGAATCTAAGCAACCACTTATCTGACCAAACTTGTATTACATAATTAGTGGCATTCTTTTATGCCTACTATTGTACTAATACATTTAAACTACATTATTTGTATAGCATAAAGAAATAAAAAATAAAATGGTAAATAAAGGCCCTTACTAGCATCAAAGTACCCTTGCCCCCTTTGAAGAGCACACCACAAGAATTATGACACATCATAAATATTATGTTTTTTAAAAGTGTGGAGCTTTTTGTGGCATATAGATTATATTTCTATAAATTAAAATGATACAAATAATACTCTTGCTTTATTTAACCATCTGTGACTTATATTCAGAGCTGTTGGTTCAATATTCTACCATGTGCATGTGCCTAGTCATTAATTTGCCATTTTTTATTGTATTCATCTGTCAGGTCATAAATTTACAGTTTTATTTACCAAGTGCATCTGTCAGGTCATTAATTTGCAGTTTTCTTTATCACATGCATGTGTCAAGTTATTAATCCAGTTTACTTTACCCTGTGGATCTGCCATGTCATTAACTTACTATTTTCTTCATTGTAGGAGTAATTTAAAAAAAAAAGTAAAATACAATTAAGGAAAATGGAAATCTACATTAGACATGTGAAGCATTACATATGGAAATGAAAGTACATATAACTAAGACCACAGATCATTTTCAGTGAAAGATCCAACAAATCAACTCTTCAAAAAAAAAAAAAAAAAAAAAACTTACTTTTCCATGAAAATAATAAAATCCTAAAGTTTTGAAAAGTCTAGTAAAGAATAATTCCTTCTTTAATAAAAATTTATTAAACATGATACACACTCTGTACAAGAAATTTTCTCTCTTGAATAAAATTTATAATTAATTAATGAGACAATAGATAGTAGGCTGGTAAACAGCAACCACCCAGGGAGGTACTACCGTCCTGCCAAGTGAGTGTAAAACGAAAGCCTGTAATTGTTTTACATGATGGTAGCATTGCTGGTGTCCTTTTTTCTGTCTCATAAACATGCAAGATTTCAGGTACATCTTGCTACTTCTACTTACACTTAGGTCACACTACACATACATGTTTTTTTTTTTTTTTTCAACAAGTCAGCCATCTCCCACCGGGGCAGGGTGACATACATGTACAAGCATATATATACACACCCCTCTGGGTTTTCTTCTATTTTCTTACTAGTTCTTGTTCTTGTTTATTTCCTTTTATCTCCATGGGGAAGTGGAACAGAATTCTTCCTCCGTAAGCTATGCGTGTTGTAAAAGGCGACTAAAATGCCAGGAGCAAGGGGCTAGTAACCCCTTCTCCTGTATATATTACTAAATGTAAAAGGAGAAACTTTCGTTTTTCCTTTTGGGCCACCCCCGCCTCAGTGGGATACGGCCGGTGTGTTGAAAGAAGAAAGAAAAAGAGAAACTTTCGTTTTTCTTTTTGGGCCACCCTGCCTCGGTGGGATACGGCCGGTTTGTTGAAAGAAGAAAGATTAATGAGACAGTGTTAAATTTTTAGGGATCATACAACACCTGGGGGATGGGAAATTATATATTCACGGGGAAGTTCTAAACCCACAAGGGTCATCAGCACCTCAGCAATGGCAGGTAATCAGCATTAGATAACCTTCCCCCCCCCACCCCACCAAGTTGAAGGAAACAAAACTTAACTCTTTCACTGTCTCTTACATAGTTCTGCATTACTGATGCCAGTGTCACTCGCTTAAACCTGCTTTTTGAGCACAGCGCCCTCAAATATGCTGTGAGTGGTAAATCTTGGCCTAAACATGAGAGGATGGGTCTGCTTCAATTATTGGGATGCCATAAACCATGACCAATCTTTCCTGATTATATTTTATTATCTAAGAAATACGGTATAAATTTAATTTTTTGTGTGACGATGGATTCAAAATGGAGGGGGCCCGGGGATGTGATTAATGAACAGAAGACAGGTTGCATTAATGGCTGGATTGCATACAGCATTTATTTTGGATTCTGTTTTTAAATTGGTCAAATTACTGACTTCTGTGCAGCTTATAGAGTAGTTCTTATAGGTGGATGGGCAGTTTCTTGTGCTCAACTGACAGAATGAAAGGCATACTAGTAAAATAACTAAGAATCTGGTCAAATTGAGCAAAGGAACTGGCTTAAAATAGGACTCAAAGTGTGGCAAACTGCTGATATGTAAATTGCACCTGTGTAATTCTGTAAATTTTCCATCAAATTTTGTATTTTTGGTGTTGTTACCTTTAGAAAAAAATTCTTACCATTTCAGAAGATAACATTATTTTTTTTTTTAACTCCCAACATTGTCAGCACTTTTAATTTTTCGGGTCCTGACAGTAAAAGGGTTAAATGCAATAAGCTTAAGAAAAGAAAACTGATCTTTTTAATGACAAATCTAAATTACTGTACAATATTTAATAAAAAAGTTGTTTTCTAACATAAAAATGATTTCAGGTTTCTATAAAATATATTTTAACATTACAAGTTTAAGCTTATAAAAATTTGTAACAGAATAATCAATAAATAAAATTTTGTACACTGGTGCCTAGAAAATAAACTACGGTATATATTTTTGTATCACTGAATGGTGAAACTTGTCATTCACTGCTGTGGTACAAACAGCTCTACAATTAACAAGTACTTGTTGAAATTTCTCTTTATGTTATGAATAAACAATGAAGAAGAGCCTTAGTACACCAAAACAGAGCATCAAATACATATGAACTGACCCTTCATTAATGATGGCAGGCTTTAATTATTTTTTTCAGTCAACCATTTTCTATGAAAACCGGTTTAACCATAAAAGAAAAATAATTTTTTTATTTGCCTGTGTGGTTATTAAATATGGAGCAAAAGATAAGTATGTTGCTCCCAGTGTTTTGGTACATACATGCCTTTCTATAATATGAAAAGTATACAACTGAAGAAGCCTGTAACTGTTTTACATATTGGTAGGACTGCTGGCGTTTTTTTCCCATCTCATAAACTTGCCAGATTTCAGGTACGTCTTGATAATTCTATTTACACTACACATACATGTACAAGTACAGTGGACCCCCGGTTAACGATATTTTTTCACTCCAGAAGTATGTTCAGGTGCCAGTACTGACCGAATTTGTTCCCATAAGGAATATTGTGAAGTAGATTAGTCCATTTCAGAGCCCCAAACATACACGTACAAACGCACTTACATAAATACACTTACATAATTGGTCGCATTCGGAGGTGATCGTTATGCGGGGGTCCACTGTATATATATACACACACCTCTCTGGATTTTCTTCTATTTTCTTACTAGTTCTTGTTTATTTCCACTTATCTCTATGGGGAAGTGGAACAGAATTCTTCCTCTGTAAACTATGCATGTCGTAGGAGGCGACTAAAATGCTGGGAGCAAAGGGCTAGTAACCCCTTCTCCTTTATACATTACTAAATTTAAGAAGAGAAACTTTCGTTTTTCTTTTTGGGTCACCCTGCCTCAGTGGGATGCAGCCAGTTTGTTGAAAGAAGTAATGTGTATACTGTATATGCATTTTTTAGGTCTAGCTCTATTGCTCACTTAATATATGTTAGTGTAAACATGTTATCAGGCTTTTATATACATTTGAAAGTGAAAAAAGACTTTCACTTTACAGCAGTAACTCAAAACCTAACGTGCTTTATAAGCGGGGCCCTCCTGTATAGTCCATTAGTCTAGTGTGCTGCTTTTCTTATAAAAATGACTCCTTCATGGATTCATAATAAGCACTCTTTAAATATATCCACACAGGGGAGTTAAAAAATAAAGTACTTAAAACTATTAATCACAGTGGTAGTACTAGCTTCAGACTGCCAAAAATAATATACATAATTATGGGTTTTCACTGTAAAAAAAAAAATACACCTGCTATTACAACCCTAATGTGTCTTGTTGGGAATTAAAGTTATTATTATCACTAGCTGTCATTCCAACTGGCTGCCTGCTTCCTGATATAATTAAAATGTTGACCTTTTATGCAATAAGGTATATTATATATGATGCACTGAAGATAAATAGAGTGAACAAAGATAAATGCACATGGAACAACCTATTTGAGATTACTGCAAGGGACAGAAACTGTAAACTTAACAGGTAGTGAAGCGAATCTGCCACACTCGGGACATGGCTAAGCCGATGAGCACTGCATGTAGCCTTATGTCATGCGTCCCTAATTCCTCTAGCCCACTTTTCTCATCTCTCTTGCCTCGTGACTTTATTATTTTGACATTTACTAAACATCTGAGGAAGTCAATAATGTTAATTATGAATTTATCAGGTAGTAATGCTCCTGGTTCTGGTGTATCAGGGTATTAACCCGTAAACGGTCCAAACGTATATATACATTTTTTTCAACATTTGAAAGTATGTAAAAAAAGTAGATCTTCTTTTTGTTTTTTTTTACATTTGAAAATGTGTAAAAAAACTTTGATCTACTTTTTTTTTGTTATATTTGAAAATATGTAAAAAAAAATGTAGATCTACTTTTGTAGCACTACACATATGAACGTAGATCTGCTTGGACCGTTTACAGGTTAATGGACCCTCAATCCTCCGGAATCGCATATGGAATTTTGTATAACATAACGGCATGCAACATTACAGCAAGCACCTCACCTAACATATAATTGGTATTGTATTTCTATATCATTACTTACAGCAGAGTGTATATTCTCACAATAATCTTTACACATTTTTCTAATGCATTTCCCATTAAAACTGTCTACTTTTTGAGCCTGTTACATTAAAAATATCGCTGTCAATTTTACCCACATGGTGAAGTCTTTTGCCATAAAACTTGAAATTTGTCAGGCTCACCCGTACTATCCCCGTACCTCACGTTTCTTTACATATTCAATCTGTTGTAAATGGCACAAAAACATATTCAAATTCATAAAGAAAACACCTTAATAAATTTACTACAATCACTTTACAAAATGATAATACAACAGAACTACATTTCTTGTTATATAAATTACCACAGTTGGAAAAACTTAGGAATTCATATACAAATTGTGGTATATGAGGGTATATAGGGAAGGAAGGTAAGGAACAGAAAAAGGTAGTAAAGTACAACAACAGAAATGAAGGAAGAATATACAAAGGGAAGTAGGATGTCAGGAGGAATATAGAAAGGAAAAAGATAGGAATATAGAAAGGTGGGATGATGAGTAGAAAAGTTGTTGATAGGTAAGAATGTTGATCAGCAGATAAAAAGGTATGAAGTAAGGCAGATAGGAAGGAAGGAGAGATAGGAAGAAAGACAGGAAAGGACTGAGGAAACTACAAAATGAGAGAGTAAGAAAATAAGAGCAAGGAAGGGAAGGCAGGGGTGTGTATACAAAATTGTAAGTTTTGGAACTGAGTTTCAAACTCTTGGACCCTACCTATCTAATTACCTATTTCAGTACTGTATATTTAGAGAAACATGCATGTCATAAGAGGTAATTAAAATGCTGGGAGCAAGGGGCTAGTAACCCCTTCTGTATATATTACTAAATTTAAAAGGAGAAACTATCACTATTCATTTTGAGCCACCCTGCCTTGATGCGATACAACCAGTTTTCTAAAAGAATTAGATATTTAGAAAAGCTCTGACCTCTTAATTCATGAATGGCTTTTATGAAATACTCAGCTGTTTGTGTAAAGATCAAAGAAACAGTGCATTTAGTTTGAAGTCAAAATTTTCTTGAATAAAAAATGTGAAGTATAAAATATAAAATGCCAGAGTATTTACAATATACAAGACTCCTGGAGAGGGGCTCTTGATCAAAGGAATTAGACCTGCCCACATCCTTGAACTAAATTTGAGGACCTTCCAGTCCCCTGGCACAGAATGACCCCTATGGGTTTAATACATCACCACAAATAAAATTATTTTTTTCTTTCAACAAACCAGCCATTTCTCACCAAGGCAGAGTGACCTTAAAAGAAAAACAAAAAAATTTCTTTTTAAATTTAGTAATTTATACAAGAGAAGGGGTACTAACCCCTTGCTCCAGGCATTTTAGTTGCCTCTTATGACATACATGGCTTATGGAGGAAGAATTCTGTTCCACTTCCCCATGGAGCATAAAAAGAAAAAACCTACTTTCCACAGCCAAATAAGATGAATCTCACTGAAATAACTAGAGTAAAGAAACTACTTTACTGTACTGCAAAAACATTAGGATGAGACTAGATATCACCTTGGTAATAAAGGAATGTCTGAAAGCATGTACTTACTGTGAATAATTTTCAACACCTCACTTAACAGAGTTAAAGTAAGGTGTGGCAATAAAAAGAAAAGAATATAACAGGTAAGAAACAAGGTAGCTAAAGGAAGAGACATTTGTATATGCAAGAACACCTGGGAATTCAGGATAATATAATAACAGGGACATAAGAAGATTTTTTCAAAGAGAAACATTAGATTTTTACCAAAGCCGTTCAACACTACTGCCACGAGGTTTCCTCAACCACTCGCTGAAGTCTTTCTCCATCATCTTTCTGGTATTGGAATTGCCAACATTGACTGTAGGGATGATCTTTTTTGGATGGATAAACTGGACAAATCGTTTGAGTTCTGCATAACTTGAGTGCTCAGAGTATGGAATGCCTGAAGGGTAATACAATTAGTATTAAATAAATACAACATAGTAGTGTACAAACAGTATATCTAAGTGCACCCAATAACCATATTTAAAACATAAGTAAATGTATAATTATATTTGTTTTTTTTTTTTATCACACTGGCCGATTCCACCAAGGCAGGTAGCCCGAAAAGAAAAACTTTCAACCATCATTCACTCCATCACGTCTTGCCAGAAGGTGCTTTACAACAGTTTTTAAACTGCATATATTAACACCTCTCCTTCAGAGTGCAGGCACTGTACTTCCCATCTCAGACTCAAGTCCGGCCTGCCGGTTCCTGAACCCCTTCATAAATGTTACTTGCTCCACTTCACAGCCGTATCAAGATTAAAAACAATTTGTCTCATCACCTATCAAACACCTCATCGCATTGCCTGTGGAGTCCAAGCCCCTCGCACACAAAACCTTCCTTTACCCCTCCCTCCACCTTTCCTAGGCGACCCTACCCGCCTTTCCCTCCACTACAGACTGATACACTTTGAATTATTCTGTTCTGCTCCATTCTCCACATGTCCGAACCACCTCAACACCCTTCCTTCAGCCCTCTGGACAACATTGGTAATAGCACTCCTCCTAACTTCCAACTACGAATTCTCTCTTTATATTCCACCACACATGCTCTTGAATGACATTCCACTCCTCCAGCCTCTCTCCGTTTCCTGCACATTTCATACCATGCTTCACACCCATATAAGAGTTGTAAAACCAATACTCTCAACATTCCCCTCTTTGCCTCCAAGACAAGTCTTTGTCTCCACAGACTCCTAAGTGCACCAACTCCCCTTTTCCTCATCAATTCTATGATTTACCTCATCTTTCATAGACCCATCGCTGACATGTCCACTCCCAAAATCTGAATACATTCACCTCCTCCATACTCTCTCTACAATCTGATTCAATCTTTCATACCTAATCTTTGTTTCTCATGACCTTACTCTTTCTGTATCACTTCAATTTCTTCTTTGCACACCATACCAAATTCATCTCACATCTCTGCAACTCTCTTCAGAATCTCCCAGAGACACAGTGTCATCAGCAAGGCAACCTGTGACAACTCCCCACTTTTGTGTGATCTTATCTTTAATCCCGCCTTATGCCAAACCCTCGATTTACTTCTCTTACCAACCCATCTATAAATATAAACCAACCACGGTGAATCACACATCCTTGTAAGGCTACTTTTACTGGGAAATATTCCCTCTTTCACTTAACTTAATTGAGCCTCACTATCTGAAAACACTCTTCGCTTTACAAACCTACCTCTACACCATACAACCTGCAACATTGCCACATTGCCCCTATTCTCCCTGTCTTACGCCTATTCCAATCATAAATGCACCAAAGACCTTTTAGCCTATCTAATACTGTATCCTTATATTTTCACTGTAACACCTGGTCACACACCCTTCCTTTCTAAAGCCTCTGTTATCTGTTCTATCCTATTTCTTCCGTCTTACTCTTAATTCTTTCAATAATAACTCTACCATAACACTTTGCCAGGTATACTCAACAGACTTTATCCCTATAATTTTTGCACTCTCTTTTATCCCCTTTGCCTTATACAAAGGAACTATGCATGCTCTCTGCAATCCCTAGGTACCTTACCCTCTTCCATACATTTATTAAATAATTGCACCAACACTCCAAAACTATATCCCCACCTGCTTTTAACTTTCTATCTTTTACCATCAATCCCGGCTGCCTTAACCCCCTTTCATTTTACCTACTGCCTCACGAACTTCCCCCACACTCACAGCTGGCTCTTCCTCACTCCTACAAGATGTTGTTCCTCCTTGCCTATACACGAATCACAGCTTCCCTATCTTTCATCAACATTTAACAATTCCTCAAAATATTCCTCCATCTTCCCAATACCTCTAACTCTCCATTTAATAACTCTCCTCTCCTATTTTTTAACTGACAAATCCATTTGTTCTCTAGGCTTTCTTAACTTGTTAATCTCACTCCAAAACTTTTTCTTATTTTCAACAAAATTTTTGATAACATCTCACCCACTCTCTCATTTGCTCTCTTTTTACATTGCTTCACCACTCTCTTAACTCTCTCTTTTTCTCCATATACTCTCCTCCTTGCATCACTTCTACTTTGTAAAAATTCTCATATGCTAACTTTTTCTCCCTTACTACTCTCTTCACATCATCATTCCACCAATCGCTCCTCTTCCCTCCCGCACCCACTTTCCTGTAACCACAAACTTCTGCTGAACACTCTAACACTACATTTTTAAACCTACCCCATACCTCTTCGACCCCATTGCCTATGCTCTCATTAGCCCATCTATCCTCCAATAGCTGTTTATATCTTACCCTAACTGCCTCCTCTTTTAAATAACAAAAAGGCACAATACCAGTGACTGGAACGATACACAAATAACCCGCACATAAAAGAGAGAAGCTTACGACGACGTTTCGGTCCGACTTGGACCATTGACAAAGTCACACTAACAGAGGTGGAGCAGGACGGCTATACATAGGCAGGAAGAGGTGGAGGTAGTAGTAGTAGTAGTAGTACAAGAATTGTATATAATACCGACAGGATGAAATGACACATGCAAAAACCCGGGCATCCCCACCGTAGACGTTTCGCCATCCAGCCAGCACTGGATGGCGAAACGTCCACAACAAAGACAACCAGACGCCGCACATGTGTCTTAATTTCATCAGTAGTTGTAGTAGAAGAAGAAGAGGTAGTAGTAGTAGTGGTAGTGGTAGAAGTGGGAAATAAGGAAGACGAGCCAGTCAAATACAAAGGAAGGGGAGCACTGCAAGAGAGCTAGAAACCCACAGAGGGAGAGCAAGCGCACCGAGGTGCGTGAAAGGGGAAGTGGTGAAATAAAATAAATGAAGAAGGAACAGAAACACGAGACAGGAGAGAGAAAAGACAACCCAGAGGAGAAAAGGAGAGAGGAAAGGGGAAGAGGAAGAAGAAAAAGAAGAAGAAGAAGAAGAAGAAATGAGGATTCAGGTTAAGTCACGGGTGTTCTGAAGTTTGGAGCATTTTACAATGTAGTGGGAGAGGAAGGCATCTACAGAGACGAAGCCAGGGCTAAGGTTCATACAAGGAAAGTTATGTATTAGAGAGGATTCAACTAAACGGCGACTGTTCGAGTTGGAAGTAGGGAAGACAGTTTTAGCAGAAGACCAGTCAATAGGATGGCTATGATCTCTGACGTGACAGAAAAGAGCATTGTTAGTGTCGGCAAGCCTAACACTATTTTTGTGCTCCCTAAGTCTGTCAGAAAGAGATCAACCAGTTTCTCCGAAGTATTGAAGAGGACAGGAGGAGCAAGAAATAGAGTAGACACCAGGAACATCTGTAGAGGGAGGAGAGTATGAACAAGATTAGTGCGAAGAGTGTTAGTCTGGCGGAAGGTAAGCTTGATGTCTAAGGGACGGAGAGAATTGTTGAGATTAGAAAGACCGGAAATGTAGGGAAGGCAGAGGATAGAAGAGTTCCCATGAGTAGAGAGTTTGGGAGAGAAGAAATTGCATTTAGCACGTGAGAGGGCAGAGTCTATGAAATGGGAAGGGTAGCCAAGACGGGAGAACGAATTATGAAGAGTGGAAATTTCTGCTGGAAGGAACTGAGGATCACAGATGTGGAGGGCACGGAGAAAGAGGGAGATAAGAACACTTTTCTTGACAGGGGAAGCATGATAGGAAAAGTAGTGAATGTACATGCCACTATGCATAGGTTTACAGTAAACGGAAAAGGAAAAACCTGTATCTGAGCGGTGGACATGGACATCAAGGAAAGGAAGTAAGGAATTAGATTCCCATTCAGCTTCAAACTTAATGGAAGGGGCAAGATTGTTAAGAGCTTCAAGAAAAGGTTGGAAGAGACTGGAGTCATGAGGCCACAGAGCAAAGATGTCATCCACATAGCGGAGCCAGAGTGAAGGTTGCACATCGAGGGTAGGAAAGAACAGTCTCGAAGTATTCCATGTAAAGATTAGCAAGGACAGGAGAGAGAGGAGAGCCCATAGCGACACCGAAGGTTTGAGAATAATATTTCCCTTGGAAGGAAAAGGAGTTAGAGTCCACACAGAGGCGGATCAGATCAAGAAAGACATCAGTGGGGATAGGGAGATGAAGAAAAACCCTCATGGGCCTTCTCTCTAAGGAAATCAAGGACATCATCAAGAGGGACATTGGTGAAGAGGGACTCAACGTCAAGACTAAGCATCTTACAGGTTGGGAGAGAGCGAACCCGTTCAATGAAGTCTTGAGAGTGACGGAGGTGAGCAGGAGAAAAAGTACCAAGAAAGGGAGTGAGGGTTTTGGCCAGCCAAGAAGCAAGAGAATAAGAGACAGAACCTCTAGAGGATATGATAGGACGAAGAGGAATATCAGGTTTATGAGTTTTGGGAAGGCCATAGAAATAGGGAAGAGAGGGACAGATGACACGAAACCGTTGAACAAGGTCAAAGTCAGGAGGACAGAGGTCCTTGCTAATCTTTACATGGAATACTTCGAGACTGTTCTTCTTCCTACCCTCGATGTGCAACCTTCACTCTGGCTCCGCTATGTGGATGACATCTTTGCTCTGTGGCCTCATGACTCCAGTCTCTTCCAACCTTTTCTTGAAGCTCTTAACAATCTTGCCTCTTCCATTAAGTTTGAAGCTGAATGGGAATCTAATTCCTTACTTCCTTTCCTTGATGTCCATGTCCACCGCTCAGATACAGGTTTTTCCTTTTCCGATTTACCGTAAACCTATGCATAGTGGCATGTACATTCACTACTTTTCCTATCATGCTTCCCCTGTCAAGAAAAGTGTTCTATCTCCCTCTTTCTCCGTGCCCTCCGCATCTGTGATCCTCAGTTCCTTCCAGCAGAAATTTCCACTCTTCATAATTCGTTCTCCCGTCTTGGCTACCTTCCCATTTCATAGACTCTGCCCTCTCACGTGCTAAACGCAATTTCTTCTCTCCCAAACTCTCTACTCATGGGAACTCTTCTATCCTCTGCCTTCCCTACATTTCCGGTCTTTCTAATCTCAACAATTCTCTCCGTCCCTTAGACATCAAGCTTACCTTCCGCCAGACTAACACTCTTCGCACTAATCTGTTCATACCTCTCCTCCTCTACAGATGTTCCTGGTGTCTACTCTATTTCTTGCTCCTCTGTCCTCTTCAATACTTCGGAGAAACTGGTCGATCTCTTTCTGACAGACTTAGGGAGCACAAAAATAGTGTTAGGCTTGCCGACACTAACAATGCTCTTTTCTGTCACGTCAGAGATCATAGCCATCCTATTGACTGGTCTTCTGCTAAAACTGTCTTCCCTACTTCACTCGAACAGTCGCCGTTTAGTTGAATCCTCTCTAAACACAACTTCCTTGTATGAACCTTAGCCCTGGCTTCGTCTCTGTAGATGCCTTCTCTCCCACTACATTGTAAAATGCTCCAAACTTCAGAACACCCGTGACTTAACCTGAATCCTCATTTCTTCTTCTTCTTCTTCTTCTTCTTTTTCTTCTTCCTCTTCCCCTTTCCTCTCTCCTTTTCTACTCTGGGTTGTCTTTTCTCTCTCCTGTCTCGTGTTTCTGTTCCTTCTTCATTTATTTTATTTCACCACTTCCCCTTTCACGCACCTCGGTGCGCTTGCTCTCCCTCTGTGGGTTTCTAGCTCTCTTGCAGTGCTCCCCTTCCTTTGTATTTGACTGGTTCGTCTTCCTTATTTCCCACTTCTACCACTACCACTACTACTACCTCTTCTTCTTCTACTACAACTACTGATGAAATTAAGACACATGTGCGGCGTCTGGTTGTCTTTGTTGTGGACGTTTCGCCATCCAGTGGCTGGCTGGATGGCGAAACGTCTACGGTGGGGATGCCCGGGTGTTGTGCATGTGCCATTTCATCCTGTCGGTATTATATACAATTCTTGTACTACTACTACTACTACCTCCACCTCTTCCTGCCTATATATAGCCGTCCTGCTCCACCTCTGTTAGTGTGACTTTGTCAATGGTCCAAGTCGGACCGAAACGTCGCCGTAAGCTTCTCTCTTTTATGTGCGGGTTATTTGTGAATGCCTCCTCTTTTAGTTTATAAACCTTCACCTCTCTCTTCCCTGATGCTTCTATTCTCCTTGTATCCCATCTACCTTTTACTCTCAGTGTAGCTACAACTAGAAAGTGATCTGATATATCTGTGGCCCCTCTATAAACATGTACATCCTGAAGTCTACTCAACAGTCTTTTATCTACCAATACATAATCCAACAAACTACTGTCATTTTGCCCTACATCATATCTTGTATACTTATTTATCCTCTTTTTCTTAAAATATGTATTACCTATAACTAAACCCCTTTCTATACAAAGTTCAATCAAAGGGCTCCCATTATCATTTACACCTGGCACCCCAAACTTACCTACCACCACCCTCTCTAAAGTTTCTCCTACTTTAGCATTCAGGTCCCCTACCACAATTACTTTCTCACTTGGTTCAAAGGCTCCTATACATTCACTTAACATCTCCCAAAATCTCTCTCTCTCCTCTGCATTCCTTTCTTCTCCAGGTGCATACACGCTTATTATGACCCACTTCTCGCATCCAACCTTTACTTTAATTCACATAATTCTTGCATTTACACATTCATATTCTCTTTCTCCCTCCATAACTGATCATTCAACATTACTGCTACCCCTTCCTTTGCTCTAACTCTCTCAGATACACCGATTTAATCCCATTTATTTCCCCCACTGAAACTCCCCTACCCCCTTCAGCTTTGTTTCGCTTAGGGCCAGGACATCCAACTTCTTTTCATTCATAACATTAGCAATCATCTGTTTCTTGTCATCCGCACTACATCCACGCACATTTAAGCATCCCAGTTTTATAAAGTTTTTCTTCTTCTCTTTTTTAGTAAATGTCTACAGGAGAAGGGGTTACTAGCCCATTGCTCCCGGCATTTTAGTCGCCTCATACAACACGCATGGCTTACGGAGGAAAGATTCTCTTCCACTTCCCCATAATATACTATACACTAAAATATAATGGATAGAGATTTAATGGTCCTTAATATGCAGTGTTGTAGAAAATACAGTGGAACCTCAAAAATCGAACTGCTCCCAACACAACCAATTATGTAAGTGTATTTTTGTAAGTGCTTTTATAAGTGTATTTTTGAGGGTCTGAAATGGACTAATCTAATTTACATTATTCCTGATGGGAATAAATTCATTCAGGTAAAGGCACTCGAACAGCCTTCTGGACCGAAAAAAGTTCGATATTTGAGGTTCCACTGTATGTGTATAAAAATGCTCCATATATAATGTCAGTTTATGGGATTTGTTCTGAAACTGGACACGTATTAGTCCTGAAGAGTTGCCAGGACAGGACAGGAGCAGGAGAAATGTGTTTATAAGTCAGTATGAGGAGAGCGTTGGCTGGAGCAAGATGTCATAAGACATCATGGTTTAGCGTTTATGTCAGTGGGGAAGGGGGTGATTTTGGGTAGCTTAGGCCATAGGTTATTTTACCGGTTTTGGTGCTCTCATGTTTACCTGTAAGGCCCTAGTGTGCAGGGCCTGTGTAGTGGAGAGTACTCATGGAGTGTTTTGCCTGCAGGCTTATGTCTTCTGTTGCCTTGATACTACAATGACCAACTTAAATTCCTTCAAGGAATTAAAGCTGGTCATTGTGGTATCAAGGAAAGAAATGTAATTTTTATTATTCATTAATGCCAAACCAATAACTAACCAATACAGGAGGGCCCTACACATATAGCACCCTCTTTTCAGTGTTCCACATTTTCATTCGCTTTCAACTAAGCCATTGTTTATTATGTTCGTTGCTTTTACTGCTTTTCTGCCATTTTCTTTCAATAGTTGCATAAGGAAGGGTGACCAGCACCATATTTTAATGTAAGTGTTGTATGTATTGTGTATTTATTTTACTTTTTCATCTGTTTTTTTATGCCTAGCTGTACCGAGCACTTAATATATGACAGTGTAAACATATTATGAGGCGTTTTAGATTCATTCAATAATGAAAAAAATGCTCTTTTCCACCTGCTGGCAATTTTCGCTCACTGTAAGGGGTTGGGAACCAAAGAGCTGCACAAAGAGGACCCTCCTGTAATACAACTTACCAGTAGTCACTGTGTTATCAAGCCCAGAGAACAAATAAGTACATTATCACACAAGGGCTAAAACTATGAGGAAAAGCATTGTCAAAAAAAAAAAAAGAGCAGATGATCTGAGAAAATGAAATAATATTAAGAATAAATCCTGGTGTTACTAAGCAAATATAAGCATTGCTTGATCATTTACTCGTAAGAGAAAAGCAAGACCCTGAACTTACCATACATATAAACATTTCCATGCTGTTTTGGAGAGAGGTTAACCAAGTCTTCATCATTATCTGAATACTCCCAACCAGTTGGACGGATGGCTACACCCGCTGTGTACCGGGGTTTCATGGTTTCTATGTAATCCATCAGCTTCTAAAACAGCAATAATTATGAAAGAGTTACCATCATAATCACCAGTATCTTGTTTCTCACTTTCATAAAATAATGACGCACTCAGCTAAAGAAGATAGAAAAGTATTGTAAAATAAGAATGGCCCCAAAACTTTTAAAATATCTTTCTCACTAGGTAACAATGGGGAAAACTATTATTTTACACTGTAGTCACACTCTTAACAAAATATACACAGCACTATCTTAGCCATTTCCCAAACTGTTAGGTAATCAATATGAATGATCAAAAACAAATTGTCAGTAACAATGCTTTCTAACAAACTGGTTCCGTTAAGTTTTGTTCACTGTCATTTCTAATGAGTCGGTACAAATGGACTGTATATCAAGCTGCCCATACCTAATACTACCAAAAAAAGATACACAGTCCTCCAAACCAACTTTATTGCCAAATGCACTAACCTTTGGTTTTAAGTCATTCATGGGCATGACATGAACCTGGGCACTGAACTTATCAGAGGTGAGTCTTGCTTGTATCTCTTCATCTGGGATACATCTTAGTATCTTCTGTTTATCGTTACTTGCCCAAATACGACAATTCAAAGACATGGCTATGGCTCTGAATACCCGCTCTTTACCTGTGGGAAAGTTTAATAAATTTTTTGTTTTTTTATTATTAACACACCGGCTGATTCCCACCAAGGCAGGGTGGCCCGAAAAAGAAAAACTTTCATCATCATTCACTCCATCAATGTCTTGCCAGAAGGGTGCTTTACATTACAGTTATAAAACTGCACATTAAAACCCCTCCTTCAGAGTATAGACACTGTACTTCCCATCTCCAGGACTCAAGTCCGGCCTGCCGGTTTCCCTGAATCCCTTCATAAATGTTACTTTGCTCACACTCCAACAGCAGGTCCAGTATTAAAAACCATTTGTCTCCATTCACTCCTATCAAATATGCTCATGCGCGTTTGCTGGAAGTCCAAGCCCCTCGCACACAAAACCTCCTTTACCCCCTCCCTCCAACCCTTCCTAGGCCGACCCCTACCCCGCCTTCCCTCCACTACAGATTTATACAATCTCAAAGTCATTCTGTTTTGTTCCATTCTCTCTACATGTCCGAACCACCTCAACAACCCATCCTCAGCCCTATGGATAATAGTTATGGTAATCCAACACCTTCTCCTAATTTCCAAATTATGAATTCTCTGCATTATATTCACACCACACATTGCCCGCAGACATGACATCTCCACTGCCTCCAGCCTTCTTCACGTTGCAACATTCATCACCCATGCTTCACACCCATACAAGAGTATTGGTACAACTATACTCTCATACATTCCCCTCTTTGCTTCCACGGACAAAGTTCTTTGTCTCTACAGACTCCTAAGAGCACCACTCACCCTTTTCCCCTCATCAATTCTATGATTCACCTCATCCTTCATAGACCCAGCTGCTGACATGTCCACTCCTAAATATCTGAATACATTCACCTCCCCATACTCTCTCCCTCCAATCTGATATCCGATCTTTCACCTAATCTTTTTATCCTCATAACCTTACTCTCTCCTATATTCACTTTTAATTTTCTTCTTTTACATACCCTACCAAATTCATCTACCAACCTCTGCAACTTCTCTTCAGAATCTCCCAAGAGCACAGTGTCATCAGCAAAGAGTAACTGTGACAACTCCCACCTTGTGTTTGATTCCTTATCTTTTAACTTCACATCTCTTGCTAAGACCCTCGCATTCACTTCTTTTACAACCCCATCTATAAATATACTGAACAACCATGTTGACATCACACATATGTTGAAATTTAAATGCTTTTGTTATGCAGTACTGTATATAACCCTTTCACTGTCAGTCCCATTGTATCACAGCTTTGAAACCAATGTTGGTCCCATAGTAGAATGCCATAAACTCAGCTCACTCAGATAAGGTGTGTGAGCGGTAAATGTGGGCATGGATATGAGAGAATGGGTCTATGTGGTAAATGTGCACCATATAAAAACAAATCCTGCAGCACACAGAAAAAACTGCAACTGTATTTTTGGTTTAAAACAGCCACTTTGTGGTGTATTTTCATATAGTTTTTATGGCTGTACAGTGGACCCCCGGTTCACGTTATTAATCCGTTCCTGAGAGCTCATCGTAAAGCAAAATTATCGGAAAGCGAATCAATTTTCCCCATAAGAAATAATGGAAATCAAATTAATTCGTGCAAGACACCCAAAAGCATGAAAAAAAAAACTTTTACCACATGAAATATTAAGTTTAATGCAATAAAATAATTAAGAACATAAGAACATAAGAACGAAGGAACACTGTGGAAGGCCTACTGGCCTATGCGAGGCAGGTCCAAGTCTCCTACCGGCTTAAGCCAATGCACCCAACCTAGTCAGGTCAGGTCACATTGACTTAAGGGAGGAACACGGCAACCGACCTGGTAGCACAAGCTATCAGGTCTAACTCACACCCACCCACATCTACTCATGTATTTATCCAACCTATTTTTAAAGCTACACAAGCTATATAAGTACAGTTATATAATAACAATAGAATAATCACAATAGAATAATTGACACTTACCTTTAATGAAGATCTGGTGATGATTGATGGGATGGGAGGAGGGGAGAGTGCCGAAGTTTTTAATGTTTAGAAGGGGAATCCCCCTCCATTAGGACTTGAGGTAGCAAGTCCTTTTCTGGGGTTACTTCCCTTCTTTTAATGCCACTAGGACCAGCTTGAGAGTCACTGGACTTCTGTTGCACAACATATCTGTCCATTGAGGCCTGTACCTCTCGTTCCTTTATGACTTTCCTAAAGTGGTTCACAACATTGTCAGTGTACAGGTTGCCAACATGGCTTGCAGTAGCTGTGTCAGGGTGATTTTCATGATACTATGTATGCCACTACGATTCTTAAATCTTTCAAACCAACCTTTGCTGGCCTTAAATTCACTCACATCACCACTAGTTGCAGGCATTTTTCTAATTAAATCCTCATGCAACTGCCTAGCCTTTTCACAAATGATCGCTTGAGAGATGCTATCTCCTGCTATCTGTTTTTCATTTATCCACACCAATAACAGTCTCTCAACATTTTCTAACACTTGCGATCGCTGTTTTGTAATCACAGTTGCACCTTTTGCAAGAACAGCTTCCTTGATTGCCGTTTTCCTGCTCACTATAGTAGAGATGGTTGATTGGGATTTACTATACAACTTGGCCAGGTCCGACACACGCACTCCACTTTCATACTTTTATCTCTTTCTTCATTTCAATAGTCATTAGCACCCTTGGTCTCGATGGGTTGGCACTAAAAGCTTTCTTGGGGCCCATGGTGACTTATTTTGCAGAAACAAGCACCAAAAACAGTGATAATATGGAATGTACCGAATGTATCCTTAGATGCGCACACACTGGCTGGCTTGTAAACACTGGCACACATGGGGCAATTCAGGCCACACGTGGACACGTCTCGTAAAAATTGTATCGCATACTGGGTTTTGTAACGGGAACCGAGGCAAATTTTTTGCGATATAATGCTTCGGATACCGGATTTATCGGATACCGATGACTTCGGAGACCGGGGGTCCACTGTATTCTCATTTTCTGGTTCCATTTGATAGAATGGAAGATATATTACAGAAATAGAGATGATTTTCATTGGTTTCGGGAATGAAAGTAGATTGAAATTGAGCTCAAATCAGCAGAAACTGCATACAGTAAATCTTCTATTTTTGTGTGAATAAAAATTCAAAATGGAAAGCAAGTGTAATATAAGAGGGGCCTGGAGCTGTGACTAATGAACGGTAAATTTAAATGCTTTTGTTATGCAGTACAGTGGATCCCCGCTTAACGATCACCTCCCAATGCGACCAATTATGTAAGTGTATTTATGTAAGTGCATTTGTATGTGTGTGTTTGGGGGTCTGAAATGGACTAATCTACTTCACAATATTCCTCATGGGAACAAATTCAGTCAGTACTGGCACCTGAACATACTTCTGGAATGAAAAAATATCGTTAACCGAGGGTTCACTGTACTGTATTTAACCCTTTCACTGTCAGTCCCATTGTATCACAACTTTAAAACCAATGTTGGTCCCATAGTAGAATGCCATAAACTCAGCTCACTCAGATAAGGTGTGAGCGGTAAATGTGGGCATCAATATGAGAGAATGGGTCTATGTGGTAAATGTGCACCATATAACAACAAATCCTGCAGCACAGAAAAAACTGCAACAGTATTTTTGGTTTAAAACAGCGACTTTGCGGTGTACATATTTTCATATAGTTTTTATGGCAGTATTCTCATTTTCTGGTTCCATTTGATAGAATGGAAGATATATTACAGAAATAGAGATGATTTTCATTGGTTTTGGGAATGAAAGTAGCTTGAAATTGAGCTCAAATCAGCAGAAACTGCATACAGTAAATCTTCTATTTTTGTGTGAATAAAAATTCAAAATGGAAAGCAAGTGTAATATAAGAGGGGCCTGGAGCTGTGACTAATGAACAGAAATTTTTTTATTTTACTGCCAGAAATGTCTGCATTGTTTATTCTGGACCCTATTTTGAAATTGGGCTTTCTTGAATTTTGTGTGAAATTGGCCAAATTATCAATTTCTGATCACTGTATTGGGTAAATGAAACAGGTAAATAGGCAGTTTCTTGTACTGAATCAATAAAATAAAAGGAGTTCTAGTGAAATAGCTACGAGTTTGGTCGACTGGAACAATGGACCTGGCTCAAAACAGGGTTCAATTTAAGCAAAATCACTGATGCATAAATATTGCAGACTGCTAAATTTGCAAGAGTGTAAATGCATAAGTTTTCCATCAAATTTCATACTTTTGGTTTCATTACCTTCGAAAAAAGATCTTCTATCATTTCATAACAAAAAATAACTTTTTTTTTTTCTGAAAATTCGTCAACACTGGGAGCAAGTTCATTAGCAGGGATCACGACAGTGAGAGGGTTAATTACTTAAAATAATACCTCAGAAATGGTTAAAATATTACAGCTTATTCACTCTTAGCATTCCTGTAGATAAGTCCAACTAGGTAGTACATCTGTTTCACATACAGCAGATGGATAACTGAACATCCACTAATCCTTGCAATGAATGACCTGCATGGGTTTAGTGAATTGCATGTGTATTTACTCTCATCAGGCAGATAACTAAATATTTATTAAATAGCTTATTACACTATTGGAGCCTAGAGATACACTTAGTATTACCTATTTAACTTGACCATCTCCAGGACAAATTCTGACCAAGTGAACCTGAAGTTCTCAATATTATTCCTGTATTATACCTTGTCTTCTTTCTTCTTTCAACAAATCAGCCATTTCCCATCGAGGATGGGTGGCCCAAAAAGAAAAACTAAAGTTTCTCTTTTTAACTTTGGTAATGTATATAGAAGAAGGGGTTCCTAACCCCTTGCTCCTGGCATTTTAGTCGACTCTTACGACACGCATGGCTTATGGAGGAAGAATTCTGTTCCACTTCCCCATGGAGATAAGAGGAAATAAAGAAGAACTAGCAAGTAAACAGAAGAAAACCCAGAGGGGTGTGTACATATATGCTTGTACATGCATGTGTAGTGTGACCTAAGTGTAAGTAGAAGTAGCAAGATGTACCTGAAATCTTGCATGTTTCTTCTTCTTTCAACACATTGGCTGTATCCCACCGAGGCAGGGTGGCCCAAAAGGAGAAATGAAAGTTTCTCCTTTTACATTTAGTAATATATACAGGAGAAGGGGTTACTAACCCCTTGGTCCTGGCATTTTAGTCGACTCTTACGACACGCATGGCTTATGGAGGAAGAATTCTGTTCCACTTCCCCATGGAGATAAGAGGAAATAAAGAAGAACTAGCAAGTAAACAGAAGAAAACCCAGAGGGGTGTGTACATATATGCTTGTACATGCATGTGTAGTGTGACCTAAGTGTAAGTAGAAGTAGCAAGATGTACCTGAAATCTTGCATGTTTCTTCTTCTTTCAACACATTGGCTGTATCCCACCGAGGCGGGGTGGCCCAAAAGGAGAAATGAAAGTTTCTCCTTTTATATTAAGTGATATATACAGGAGAAGGGGTTACTAGCCCCTTGCTCCCGGCATTTTAGTCGCCTCTTACAACACGCATGGCTTTCGGAGGAAGAATTCTGTTCCACTTCCCCATGGAGGTAAGAGGAAATAAATAAGAACAGGAACTAGAAGGAAAATAGAAGAAAAAAAATGAGGGGTGTGTATATATATGCTTGTACATGTACATGTAGTGTGACCTAAGTGTAAGTAGAAGTAGCAAGACGTACCTGAAATCTTGCATGTTTATGAGACAGAAAAAAGGACACCAGCAATCCTACCATTATGTAAAACAATTACAGGCTTTCGTTTTACACTCACTTGGCAGGATGGTAGTACCTCCCTGGGCAGTTGCTGTCTACCAACTTACTACCTAGGATATTATACCGGAGAGAATGGATCAAAGTAGAATGACATGGAAAGCATATAAATCTATAGGGGAAGGAAGGAGGGGTAGGGGTCGTCCTCGAAAGGGTTGGAGAGAGGGGGTAAAGGAGGTTTTGTGGGCAAGGGGCTTGGGCTTCCAGCAAGCGTGCGTGAGCGTGTTAGATAGGAGCAAATGGAGACTAATGGTACTTGAGACCTGACGATCTGTTGGAGTGTGAGCAGGGTAATATTTAGTGAAGGGATTCAGGGAAACCGGTTATTTTCATATAGTCGGACTTGAGTCCTGGAAATGGGAAGTACAATGCCTGCACTTTAAAGGAGGGGTTTGGGATATTGGCAGTTTGGAGGGATATGTTGTGTATCTTTATATGTGTATGCTTCTAAACTGTTGTATTCTGAGCACCTCTGCAAAAACAGTGATAATGTGTGAGTGTGGTGAAAGTGTTGAATTATGATGAAAGTATTTTCTTTTTGGGGATTTTCTTTCTTTTTTGGGTCACCCTGCCTCGGTGGGAGACGGCCGACTTGTTGAAAAAAAAAAAAAAAATTATGTTTACCTTATGTATAAAATCTCCAAAACGAAAATACAATGGAACCTCTACTTGTGAGTTTAATCCATTCCATGACTTTGCTCGCAACTGGATTTGCTCGTTTGCAGAGTCAATTTTCCTCATTTAAATTAATTGAAATGCAATTAATTCGTTCCAGTGGAATTCTGTACTTCAATAATTTCGCTAATATCAACTCTACGGCTTATTTATCTATCTCACTTCATCTAATATGATGTAATAAACAATATAAATAACATAGAAACCTGATATATACTCTAAAATAAATAAAATACATGTATGTAATTCATGTAGTGGTATGGGCGGTGTTGGCAGTGGACACGAGTTTGTCTAGAGACAGGACAAAATACTCCTTGAATATTTTGCTATCATCAACTCTATGTCTTATTTATCTATCACAGTTTATCTAATATGAAATAATAAACAATATAAATAACATAGAAACCTGATATATACTCTAGAATGAATAAAATATGTCATTATGTAACAAGTGGAGGCAGCCACAACCACTCCCTCTTTGTGGTGGTAAACACTGCCATCTAGTGATGGCCTTTTGAAGCCGTCTATTATTATAATTATTATTATGTAGTATATTATTATTATATCTATTATTATACATATATTATTATTATTGTATTATATTATACTATTACAGTATTATTATACATATTATTATTATTACGTATTATTATTATTACAACATAAATGTGTAATTTTTATTCACACAAAAAATATAAGATTTACTGTTATGCCTTATTTCAAAAATTGTATAATGTCAACCCATTCATGACTGCATATTGTTTACTCTTGAACACAGCCAAAACAATCGAACATTTCTCCTACGTTGAGCTCAATTTCAAGGTACTTTTCATCATGAAAGCAATCACAATCATATCTATTTCTGTAATATATCTTCCATTCTATGAAATGAGACCAAAAAAACGAGAATACAACCATAAAAACCATACGAAAATACCGCTAAGGGATAGCTAATTGCTGAGAAGTGAACTCCATTATTTATGCTTAGATTTCTTTCATTTTTGGTGTGCATTAAGAAGCATCTTTCCATCATACATTGCCCAAGTTTCAATAAACAAATGAGATACAATTCCCTAGATCAAGAGCAAGAGCCCCTCACCAGTGTCAAGGAACCTGCCTTGAGGTCTGCTCGTTTATGGAAATTTTGCTCGCGTATGGAAGCAAAAAATTGACCCATCGACTGATCGTATTTGGAAAAACTCGCACATGGATTCGCTTGCAAGTAGAGGTTCCACTGTACTTTCAATGATGAGGAAAGTATTTTCTTTTTGGGGATTTTCTTTCTTTTTGGGTCACCCTGCCTCGGTGGGTGACGGCCAACTTGTTAAAAAAAAAAGAAAAAATATAAAAGTAATTCTGAATGTGAAGGAAACACATTAGAAGCTACAAGCAATGAGTTACCTTTTTCATACTTTTTGCCCAGCTCCATTATTACATGCTGCACTTTTTTTGTAGAGGGGAGGGCCAAGCAAACAAAGATTTCATTGTGATTCAAAAACCCTGTACAAATTATGAGATAAAAAAGTTGTATGTATATTTAGCCACCCTGCAATAAAAGCATACATGACATATTTACCTTCAGTATTCATCTGGGTCACAATATGATATCCCCTTGGGAAAGTATGTGCAGAAATCTAAATCTCTATATGTCTGCACAGCAATCTGTTTTTGTCAGTCACATTTTCTGCTGCGATCTTTGCAATTAATTCCCAGATTTTTCCTGCTCTATGTGCCTAAGACTCACCATCATGTTGATCATTACTGCCCTATTAATGCCAGAGGCACAGAGATATTTGCATCAATGTGTGGCAGGCAATGGACTTATCACGTCCTAACCATATGTAAAGAAATACAGTGGACCCCCGAGTTTCGTGATTAATCTGTTCCAGAGAGCCTGCCGAAAGTCGAAATTCACGAAACTCGAAACCATTTCCCCCATAAGAAATAATGGAAATAAAATTAATCTGTTCCAGACACCCAAAAATATTAAAATAGAATATTTTTTTTTTCAAATTAAATAAAGATTTATATACTGAAATCAATGAGAAATCAAGTACATGCCTATAAAAAATAATAACATTACATTTACCTTTACTGGAGACTTCTGGGTGGATGGAAGATGGGAGGAGGGGAAAGGAGGAAGGTGTACACTATTGTTTGGAAGGAGAATCTCCTTCCATTAGGACTTTAGGTAGCAAGTCCTTATCTGGGGTTACTTCCCTTCTTCTTTTAATGCCACTGGGAACAACTTGAGAGTCACTGGACCCCTGTCGCACAAAATATCTGTCCAGAGAGGTCTTTTTCTGGCGTTTCTTTAAGATTTCCCTGAAGTGGGACACAACACTGTCATTGTACATGTTGCAGATATGGCTTGTTTCAGCTTGGTCAGGGTGATACTTTTCAACAAAACTTTGCAACTCATTCCATATTCCACACATGTCCTTAATCACTGAAGAAGGAACCTCCTTCACTCGCTTTTCCTCCTCCTCTGAAGCAAGTTCCTCGGCTGTGGTCTGATGCTGTTCCAGTTGAAGCTCTTGCAGTTCGTCAGTGGTTAGCTCTTCTCTGTGGTCCTCAACCAACTCTTCCACATCCCCGTCACTCACCTCCAACCCCATGGACTTGCCCAATGCCACAACACCTTCCACAACAGGCAGAGAGTCAGCAGGGACAGGGTCTGCCTCAAACCCTTCAAAATCCCTCTGGATCGTGTTTCTAACTTTATTTACCAAAGGGCTTACACTAGCTTTCCTTGGGTCCATGATGACTTATTTAGCAGTTGCAAGCACAAAAAACAATGGATTATTATGAAATGTATTGTATGAACCCGCGGGGTGATGGTCACGTGTTAGTAAACAATGGCACACTGAGCATGAATGGTGTGGGAGACTGGCTTGGTGTGCGCAGTGACGGGCGGATGGGTACCGGACGGTCGCTGAAACATTAGTCTAATCACGAAACTCGAGGCCAAATTTTGCCAAAAAAACTCACCGTAGGTCGAATTTCACGAAAGTTGAGGCTGCCGAAACTCGAGGGTCCACTGTATATGCTAAGTGCTTTCTTGATCTAGTAATACATTGAGTGATTGAATGAGCAACAGTGAAAGTGTTTCCTTTTTCTTCCAGTAGCTCCTACTTTGGTGGGAAACAGCTGGAGTGTTAAAATGCTTTTTTTTGCTATTCACTTCCATAATTGTGTATATATGAACATATGCTAATTATATTATAAACAGTATGGGACCTTATATCAACATTAAAATTAAACAATGCTATGCAGCTAGAAAATAATATATATTTGGGATAGAGCACTATTCTTAGACTGGCACTAGATGGGACTTTAATCTCTTTATGGTTAACTGAACAGCTAATACAGATTTATGAAACACCAAGAAGCCAAAAATTTCTTAGGTGTACCAATACCTATTGAATATGATCCCACAACAATGAGCGTCTTAGAGTTGTCATTAACATGGGTTGTAGCGATTGACACACACTTTTCAAGTACATCTTCTTGAGAAGGAAAACTATACACTGGATTACAATATCTGTAAAGGAAAAACAAATATTTTCTGAAGTGAATAATATATGTTTAGTGTGCTAACTTGAAACTGTAAAAACTGCATTCAATATACTTCAATTTATTATAATCAGAAAAAAGCACTAAACCACAAGGGTTATACAGCCACATTCAATATACTATATTTAAAAATGGACTGCATTTTTGAAAGGTATAAAAATTTAAACTATTTCATTAAGAATAGTATGGCATAATCCTTCTAATACTAATAATTAATGTGTGTGTATTTACATCATATAAATCAATTAAGAATATGAGGTCTCATTAACTCATTGGCCTTGTAGAAGATATGAGGTGGAATCCATGTTCACTTATTATATAACATACAATAAAACCCCATAAAAAAAATCCTTACACTCTATTCACTTAATCAGAATTGCACAGCATTAATAGAAACTTCACAGGTGACATACGTAGTATCCAAGTACAGAGTATCAATGGAGCAGTTCCACAATGCAGGATAGGATTCCATCTTTGGGTGAGCACGGAAATCACCAACATGGAGAACTGTAGCACCCGTTCTTAGCTTGAACAAAAACATCACTGCTCCAGGACAGCTGCAAAAACTTCCATGTTAATACCAGTACTCATATTCATGTGCAAAAAACACATGTTTGCAGAAAGTTTTAACTGGGAAAATGTTTAAATCTGTTAAGATCCTTATCAAGTCAAGGTTATCTGTAAGATAATAAAATTAGTACAACACACTTCACAAAACTGATCTACACTGTATACTTAATCAGCCCATCCTCATAGAAACAAAGACAGAGTTAATACTTTTTTTTTTCTTTTTTTTTTCAACAAGTCGGCCGTCTCCCACCGAGGCAGGGTGACCCAAAAAGAAAGAAAATCCCCAAAAAGAAAATACTTTCATCATCATTCAACACTTTCACCTCACTCACACATAATCACTGTTTTTTCAGAGGTGCCCAGAATACAACAGTTTAGAAGTATATATGTATAAAAATACACAATATATCCCTCCAAATTGCCAATATCCCAAACCCTTCCTTTAGAGTGCAGGCACTGTATTTCCTATTTCCAGGACTCAATTTCCAGTTATATAAAAAAAACCGGTTTCCCTGAATCCCTTCACTAAATATTACCCTGCTCACACTCCAACAGTCATCAGGTCCCAAATACCATTTGTCTCCATTCACCTCCTATCTAACACGCTCTTTCCACGCTTGCTGGAAGTCCAAACTCTCGCCCACGACACCTCCTTTACCCCCTCCCTCCAACCTTTTCAAGGACGACCCCTACCCCGCCTTCCTTTCCCTACAGATTTTTTACACTCTCCATGTCATTCTACTTTGATCCATTTCTCTCAAATGACCAAACCACCTCAACAAACCCTCTTCAGCCCTCTAATACTTTTATTAACTCCACACCTTCTCCTAATTTCCACACGCCGAATTTTCGCATAATATTTACACCACACATTGCCCTTAGACAGGACATCTCCACTGCCTCCAACCACCCCCTCGCTGCAGCATTTACAACCCAAGCTTCACACCCATATAAGAGTGTTGGTATACTATACTTTCATACATTCCCTTCTTTGCCTCCATAGATAACATTTTTTGCCTCCACATATACTCAATGCACCACTCGCCTTTTTTCCTTCATCAATTCTATGATTAACCTCATCCTTCAAAAATCCATCGCTGACATGTAAAACTCCCAAAAATATCTGAAAACATTCACTTCTTCCATACCTCTTCCCCAATTTGATATCCAATTTTTCTTTATCTAAATCATTTGATATTCTCATCACCTTACTCTTATCTATGTTCACTTTCAACTTACTACCTTTACCCCACACTACCAAATTCGTCCACTAACCTTTGCAATTTTTCTTTAGAATCTCCCATAAGACAGTATCATCAGCAAAAAGTAACTGTGTCACTTCCCATTTTGTATTTAATTCCCCTAATTTAGTCCACCCCTCTCCCGAACACCCTAGCATTTACTTCTTTTACAACCCCATCTATAAATTATTAAAAAAACCATGGTGCATTACACATCCCTGTCTAAGACCTACATTTTACCGGGAAGTAGTCTCCCTCTCTTTACACACTCAAACCCTGAGCCTCATTATCCTCATAAAAGCTCTTTACAGCATTTTTTAGTAACTTACCACCTATTCCATATATTTGCAAACATCTGCCACATTGCTTCCCTATCCACTCTATCATATGCCTTTTCTAAATCCATAAATGCAACAAAACTTTCCTACCTTTATCTAAATACTGCTCACATATATGCTTCAATGTAAACACTTGATCTACACATCCCCTACCCACTCTAAAACCTCCTTGCTCATCTGCAATTCTACATTGTGTCTTACCTCTAATTCTTTCAATAATAACCCTACCATTACTTTTCCTGGTATACTCAGTAAAGTTATTCCTCTATAATTTTTACAATCTCTTTTGTCCCCCTTCCCTTTATATAAAGGGACTTTTAGAACACGCATGGCTTATGGAGGAAAGATTCTTATTCCACTTCCCCATGGATATAAAAAGAAAAGTAATTAGAACAAGACCCAAGATAAAATAAAAGAAAACTCAGATTCTTTGAGATATTACTTAATTTCTACCTATTCCATTTACCTTCTATGTTAACTTCTGAAACAGACTTTAGTGTCTATTTACCGTATTGTTCCAATGTTATTAAACCACACTTCAACAGTTTAATTCAATGCATCTCTGGCATGGCACCTCTTTCCTCTGCATGTTCAACAATCCTTTTCAAACTCTCCTTTACTAATTTGGTTTCCATTATAAGACAGTTACAATGAAAAACTATTACACCTTTTTCTACTTCACTAATAGCTTTACTTTATAAATATCATATAGAATACTGCATATAAAACTTACTGGTTGGCCTCAAGCAGTGTAACTTCTAGACCACACACTACCACTGATTCCTCCATAGGCAAAGGGAATATGAACTGATTAGCTACACCAAGCCTCAGATTCACAAGCTTAGCTGAAAGGTAAAGATGGTGGTCATTATTATTATTATTATTACTACAGGGGTGCCCCGCTTTACAGTCCTTCACTTTATGGTATTTCACTAATGCAGCAGTTTTCAATTATACCCATTCTTCATTTTTACAGACTTCCTACAATAAATATATTCACCACTCACTATAAGCTAAGGAGGAAAATATTTTAATGTAAGTAATGTGTGTACAGTACAGCCTCTCCTCACTTAGCGACGTACTCATTTACTGGCAACCTGGGCTTACTACGGCTCTCTGACCAGTATGCACACCTAAATAATGTATATTAGGGCTGATTTCCTCTATTCTGTTTATTACAATATATGTACAGTACACTACTGTATAAACATTTAAAAATCTACCAGAAATGTTATAAATGGTGCAAAGGTGACATTAAAACAATACCAAAGATGGTTGATACAAACACACTACTATTATAATATGCTCCTTACTTAGCGACGAATTGGTTTACCAGCGAGGTCTTAGGAACGGAATTCCGTCGCTAAGTGAGTAGAGGCTGTATACAGTACACTACTGTATAAACATTTAAAAATATACTAAAATTTTTATAAATGGTGCAAAGGTGATATTAAAACAATATTAAAGATGGTTCACACAAACCCACTACCATTATAGTATGCTTCTTGCTTAGCGATGAATTCGTTCACTGACATGGTCTTTGAAACGTAACTCCATCATTAAGTGAGGAACTTAACGATGTATAAGCGGGGTCCACCGTATTATATTAATGGATAGTGCTAAACCCTTAAACGTCATTCAGTGCTACAAGACAAAGATGGTAGCCAGAAAGAAGTGGAGGTGGAGGAGTTGAGGAAAGATTGGTAGAACAAAGGGGTAGGGGATGGGGATAAATATCATAGTTGATGTAGGAAATCTGGGTTGGATAAGCATCTCAGGGTACTGCAGAAGATGTTCAAAATTAATTTAGCATACTGATGAGGTAAGGATTTTGACAGGATGATTCACCACTATTCTATCTTTCTAAAGACAAATACATGTACAGTGGTACCTCAGGATACGAACAGCTCAAAACACGAACAATTATGTAAATTATGAAATGGAAAGTACAATGCCTACACTCTAAAGGAGGGGTTCGGGATATTAGCAGTTTGGAGGGATATGTCGTGTATCTTTATACGTACATGTATATGCTTCTAAACTGCTGTGTTTCTGAGCACCTCTGCAAAAACAGTGATTATGTGTGAGTGAGGTGAAAGTGTTGAATGATGATGAAAGTACTTTTCTTTTTGGGGATTTTCTTTCTTTTTGGGTCACCCTGCCTCGGTGGGAGATGGCCGACTTGTTAAAAAAAAAAAAATTATGTAAGTGCTTTTGCAAGTGTATTTTTGGGGGTATGAAATGGATTAATCTAATTTACATTATTCCTTATGGGAACAAATTCATTCGGTACCAGCACTCAAACAGCCTTCTGGAATGAAATAAGTTCGTATCCCGAGGTACCACTGTAACATCAAACAACACTTAAAACATTCTGATTCCTTAATAAAATATAAATAAACAATTTTATCAAGGGCAATAAGAAACATTAACTGAAAAAGAAAACTAACACTAGCAAACAAATCATTAGCATAGATGTAAATATCTTAAATAATACCCAAAACTTCTATAATTTACACTCTTCTAATAACCAAATACTCTAATGATAAATTATAAAAAAGAGATTAAACTAACAATGGCTACTGGCAACTAAAAGCATACAACACAGTACTTAGATCCACTGACAAGTAACACGACAATCATATGTATGAAAAGAACTCCAATCCAAGCCTAACCCCCAAAGGAAACTAAAAAATTCTTTGAGACTTATTAATTTAATTAAGAAATCTAATTAAATCTACTACTATGTATCCAGACTTTAAAACTATATCTACAATAATTAAACAATGTACGTATCTTTAAAAAGCAATTATTTTTTAATTATTTAAAACCCATGCTGCACACCCATATAAGTGTGTTGGTACCACTATACTCAGATAGGAGCTGTGAATCGACCCCTGCAACCACAATTAGGTGAGTGCATTCCTCTTTTTACCTTCATGGATAAAATTCTTAAGCCTTCATAGATGTTCAACAGATACTGTATGTAGCACTGTAGTTAAAATATAAACAGTTGGGTAAATTATGTTTAGCAGCCTTTCCCACTCCTTAATTTCAATAAAAAATCATAAAAAGCTTATGCTTCAGACAATTCTGGGTTAACGTGGTATGACTACTACCCTATGAATATACATTATAATCCTTCAAAAGTGAAACTCTTTTGAGCCTTACTTAAAGTAGAAGCGGCTTTTACTTTAAGTTGTTGATCTCATCTTATGCAAGTACTGTATATATATACAGTGGTCCCTCAATTATTGTCCTTAATCCGTTCCTGGAAGTGGGACTCTTATCGAAATAGACGATTTTCGAATCAATTTTCCCCATAAGAAATAATGTAAGTCCAATTAATTCGTTTCAGACACCCAGAAGTATCAACAACAGTTTTTTTTTTACCTAAAAGATAGATTTACATGCACAAAAGAATAAACATTCAACATGACAGTTACCTTTATTGAAGGCTGTTGTTGATGAATCAAAGACAGGGAGGAGGAGAGAGGGAAGAGAGGTTATTGTTTGGAAGGGGAATCCCCCTCCACAAGGACTCTAGGTCACTTCAGGGGTCACTTCTGTAGCATAAACATAGATTTACATGCAGAAAAGAATGCCAAATAAATGTAAAGTACTAATAAAATGTATAAATGAACATTGGTAATAGGGGTAGCTGATGAATGGAATGGTCTGCCTAGTAAGGTGATCGAAGCTAAAACACTGGGTAGTTTCAAATTTGGGTTGGATAAATACATGAGTGAGAGGGGTTGGATTTGAGTTGGACTTGCACCTGAGCTTATTGCTTGGGTAGCATTTGTTCTGTTAGTGGGTTGGATTTGTGAAGGACCAGCCTAGTATGGGCCAGCAGGCCTACTGCAGTGTTCCTCCTTTCTTATGTTCTTATTGAAGACTTGTTTGTGTGAGGGAAGGATGGCAAGTTTATTGGTGGAGAATTTTTTTTGTTTTTTTCAACAAGTCGGCCGTCTCCCACCGAGGCAGGGTGACTCAAAAAAGAAAGAAAATCTCCAAAAAGAAAATACTTCATCATTCAACACTTTCACCACACTCACACATTATCACTGTTTTTGCAGAGGTGCTCAGAATTCAACAGTTTAGAAGCATACACATATAAAGATACACAACATATCCCTCCAAACTGCCAATATCCCAAACCCCTCCTTTAAAGTGCAGGCATTGTACTTCCCATTTCCAGGACTCAAGTCCGACTATATGAAAATAACCGGTTTCCCTGAATCCCTTTACTAAATATTACCCTGCTCACACTCCAACAGATCGTCAGGTCCCAAGTACCATTCGTCTCCATTCACTTCCTATCTAACACGCTCACGCACGCTTGTGGAAGTCCAAGCCCCTTGCCCACAAAACCTCCTTTTCCCCTCTCTCCAACCCTTTCGAGGACGACCCCTACCCCGCCTTCCTTCCCCTATGATTTATATGCTTTCCATGTATTCTACTTTGATCCATTCTCTCTAAATGACCAAACCACTCAAAAAACCCCTCTTCTGCCCTCTGACTAATACTTTTATTAACTCCACACCTTTTCCTAATTTCCACACTCCGAATTTTCTGCATAATATTTACACCATACATTGCCCTTAAACACAACATCTCCACTGCCTCCAACCATCTCCTCACTGCTGCATTTACCACCCAAGCTTCACACCCATATAAGAGTGTTGGTACTACTATACTTTCATACATTCCCTTCTTTGCCTCCATAGATAACATTTTTTGACTCAACATATACCTCAACGCACCACTCACCTTTTTTCCCTCATCAATTCTATGATTAACCTCATCCTTCATATGACACTAATATCAACTCTACGGCTTATTTATCTATCACAATTCAAGTAATATGACATAATAAACAATATTAATAACATAGAAACATGCAATATACTCTAGAATGAATAAAATAAGTCATTACGTATGTCACGAGAGGTGTTGTGTTGTGTTGTTGTTGGGTATATACGGGCCACTGAAAGTAACCCGTCCATAATGGTGGTGAAGCAGCAGCTGAAGCAGTTGTGTTTTCTGTAGCCCTATATAACTCCAACAACATTGGAGGAGTTGGTAGAATCGCTGAATCACTGAAGAAGGCACCCTCTACCACCATCACTACCACCTTCTACCACTATTACAACTGTTACCACCATCACTACTACCTTCTACCACCATCAACCACTATCATAACTGCTTCCACTCTACCACCATCACCTTTGTATTTTTCTATGAACTTTTTCATAAATTATGTGTTTCTCACATTCTTTACCAAAGGGCTGGCACTAGAAGCTTTCTTTGGAGTCATGGTAGCTTATTTAGCACTTGCAAGCACTAAAATCAATGGAATACATGTATTATGAAATATTTCGTAGGAGCAAGTGAGGGGACCATCACTCACTGGTAAACAATGGCACACTGGCTGGGAAGGCAGGCCCAGGTGGCTCAGAGCATGAGTACGCGTCCTGGATGAAGGACGATTAGCGAGTTAACGGACCATTTGCGAGCCAATGTTTAGACGAAATAACGGGATTATTTCCGAAATAGACGACTTTCAGGCCAGACGATTATTGAGGGACCACTGTATATACACCTACCATCCGACTTATGACCGAGTTCAGTTCCGAGAAACCGATCGTAAGTCGAAATGGTCGTAAGTCGAACTTTACTACTGAATATCAACAAAACATTTTTATAATGACTTTATTTTATCGTTTTATTTTGATATTTCATGTTTTACTTTACTTTTTATGTTGTTAGTACTGTATTTTATACTGTAAGGTTTAGGATAAACACTGTGTACAACACAAATAGTTGTTTATTCCCCAGAAATTTGGCATAAAAAACACGGTCGTAAGTCGAGTGGTCGTAAGTCGAGCAGGTCGTAAGTCGGATGGTAGGTGTATACTTCTTACATTATTAGGTAGTCAGTTGGTAGACAGCAACCACCCAGGGAGGTACTACCGTTCTTCCAAGTGAGTGTAAAACGAAAGCCTGTAATGTTTTACATGATGGTAGGATTGCTGGTGTCTTTTGTCTGTCTCATAAATATGTAAGATTACAGGTACATCTTGCTACTTCTACTTACACTTAGGTCACACTACACATACATGTACAAGCATATACTACGTATATATACACACCCCTCTGGGTTTTCTGCTATTTTCTTTCTAGTTCTTGTTCTTGTTTATTTCCTCTTATCTCCATGGGGAGGTGGAATAGAATTCTTCCTCCGTAAGCCATGCGTGTTGTAAGAGGCGAATAAAATGCCAGGAGCAAGGGGCTAGTAACCCCTTCTCCTGTATAAATTACTAAATTTAAAAAGAGAAACTTTTGTTTTTCTTTTTGGGCCACCCTGCCTCGGTGGGATACGGCCGGTTTGTTGAAAGAAAGACTTCTTACATTGAATGTACATTATTTTCCACTTTAAAAAATTGATGCACATATGGTGTGTAAGGAAAGAAATTTGAAAGTGAACACAGATAAGAGTGAGGTGATGAGGGTATCAAATGACTTAGGTAAAGAAAAATTGGATATCACATTGGAGGGAGGGAGTATGGAAATAAATGTGTTCAGATATTTGGGAGTTGACTTGTCAGCAGATGGGTTCATGAAGGACGAACTTAATCATAGAACTGATGAAGGAAAAAAGGTGAGTGGTGCTTTGAGGTATCTATAGAGACAAAAAACATTATCCATGGAGGCAAAGGAGGGAATGTACGAGAGAATAGTGGTACCAACACTCCTATATGGGTGTGAAGCATGGGTTACAATTGCTGCAGCAAGGAGGAAGCCAGAGGCAGTGGAAATGTCGTGTCTAAGGGCAATGTGCAGTGAAAATATTATGCAGAGAATCTGTAGTGTGGAAATTAGGTGTGGAGTTATTAAAAGTAATAGTCAGAGGGCTCAAGAAGGGTTGTTGAGGTGGTTTGGTCATTTGGAGAATGGAACAAAATAGAATGACTTGGAGGGCATATAAATCTGTAATGGAAAGAAGGCGGGGGTAAGGGTCATCCTAGGAAAGGTTGGAGGGATGGGGTAAAAGAGGCTTTGTGTGTGAGGGGCTTGGACTTCCAACACGTGTGCATTAGCTTTTAGATAGGAATGAATGGAGACCAATGGTTTCTGGGACCTGACGAGCTGTTGGAGTGTCAACAGGGTAATATTTTGTGAAGGGATTCATGGAAACTGGTTAGCCAGACTTGTGTCCTGGAGGTGGGAAGTACAATGGCTGCGCTTTAACCCTTAAACTGTCCAAACGTAGATCTGTGTTCGCTCGCATAGCGCTCTGAACGTAGATCTACATTTTTTAACATTTTTTCTTATGGGGAAAATTAAGGTCGGAGTGCTACACGTAAAAACGCAGGTCTACGTTTGGACAGTTTAAGGGTTAAAGGAGAGTTCAAGATATTGGCTGTTTGGAGTGACATCTAAACTGTCATATCTGAGTGCCTCTGCAAAGACAGTGATTATGTGTAAATGAAGGTGAAAGTACTGAATGATGGTAAAGTTTTTCTTTCGTTTTTTTGGGGTCACCCTGCCTCGGTGGGAAACAGCCGATGTGTTAAAAAAAAAAAAAGGTAAGAAATCAAATATCTCACCTCTCAACCATTTGATTTTGGCATGCCCTTTACAGAACCATATTACCATTCTCAAGCAACATAAGTTTTTATAAAATTACAACTGCCTCATGCTATATAGTTAAAACCATACCTGTAATTTCACTGCAATAAATGGGACGATTAAAACTCTTCTTGAGGCCTCTATAATGATCATAGTGGAAGTGTGTAAGGAAGTAGGCACTTACACCATCAAGATAACCATAGCAAAAAGCATCCACAACAATGTTTGTTTCTGAAACATGACAGTTTTATATCATGTACATTACAAAAGATAAGATGACCTTTAAAAGCCTGTTGTACAGGCTATAATGCTCTCTGAAGCAAGTTTCCAATTACTGTACTGTTTTTGTCATTATCATCTACAACTCGTAGGTATTTCCATTCCATTTAGTGTTATAAAAGATGTCACAATACCCGTAATACTAATCAAGTGTACTGCAATTCTGTATGAACAAATAAACAATAAAATTTAAATCATCACCTGGAATGTACTTGTAAAAAGGACATTTCCGTTGTTGCCATGCTGTTTTTTTATTCTGATCACTTTGCTGAGTTCCAAAATTAACTTCCTTGGGATTCTGTTAAGTAGAATGTAGAAAATTAAGGAACAAATAAAACCTTTCAAATACCTTCTTAATAATCACACATATTACCTAAGACTTTACCTAATGATCATATTTGTTATAAGTGAACAACTTATAACAAATATGATTATTAGGTAAATTACATTTAGATTACATGCACTTATAAAACAACTCTTTCTATATACATAATCTACTTTAAATTATATTTGTGATGATTGTAGTCAGGAATGATTAGTAATTTGGGGAGGGCTTGGTCTCAAGTTCTCTGGAATACTGATGTTTTCCTGTAGCTTTTGTATTAAGTGCTTTTGCAAGTTCCATTAGCCTGTATGAGGAAATCTATCAGCAAATTGCAAAAAAAAAAAAGAAAAAAAAAAAAAAAAGACTTTCTTACTCTTGAAGATTCAGAGCTGTCAGACACACTGGGAAGACGCAGTTTTCTCTGCATCTTTTGCATAAGAGGTTTCCAGCTCTCGGCAGCAGGTTTTTGACTGGTTTTACATTTCTTGCAAGCTGTGAAAAATATAAAATACAGTGTCACACAAATTAACCATCGAGAGAGTGAGACAGCGAGAGATATGCAGTATCTGTAATGTTTAACACTACCTGGTAGCCAGACGAATATTACGTAGTAAATGAACAATATTATTATTATGAAGAGAGGAGAGAGTTGCAGAATAAGCTTTTATTTTGACAATGATTTGCTCTATGTAAAGCTTCATTATTAAAAGGTATATATACAGTGAAAATGTGGATGTTTAATATCTGACACTGCAAGGAAGACATTTCATCTGTGTAAAGATGACATTTCACTTGTGCCTGTTGTGCAAGTGAAACACTGACTGCTTGCATCTCTTTATCAACATTAACTTGAAGGTACAGTATTCCCATACCATCTATTATTACATAAAAGAAATCATCACTACCCAGTAGGAAACTATTAAAATTTAGAACAGAAATTTCTTTAAATATGCTAATCCTTGCTGAAGGGTGTCCCACATGAGGACTCCAGTTGGGAGATGAAATATACTGTCTCATATCCATTGCTATTTTCTTGTTTAAATGTGGGATACCCTTCAGCACTGACAAGTGTTCATTACACTTTCATCATCATCATAATCCTTGTTTGTTTTGATACTTATCTCTAAGGTAGCAAGAAAAATATTATAAGATGATTTACTTGAATGAACATGTACATTAGATAGTTGCATTATGAAATAATAAAAAAATAGTAAAGTGAAACAAAAAAATAGATACAGTAAATCCTCGATATAACTAACTAATAAGAAAATTGTCTGAGAGTCCATTAAATCAACTGTATCCCTGCTATAGTACTGTACACATAATATACAGAAAATATTGCAGTAAACATGGAAAATAAAAAAGTTAAAGGTACAATTCACTCACTGGGTTTTACCCATTACGTATTTTAAAAGTTCATTATATCATGATCATAGTCTTGCTACTTCTACTTACACTTAGGTCACACTACACATACATGTACACGTTTATTTATACACACTCATCTGAGTTTTCTTTGATTTTATCTTAATAGTTCTTGGTCTTATTACTTTTCCTTTTATATCCATGGGGAAGTGGAATAAGAATCTTTCCTCCGTAAGCCATGCGTGTTGTAAAAGTCAACTAAAATGCCGGGAACAATGGGCTAGTAACCCCTTTTCCTGTAAAGATTACTAAAAAGAATAAGAAGAAAATTGTCAAAGTGGGAAGTCTGAATGTGTGTGGATGTTGTGCAAATGATAAGAAAGAGATGATTGTGGATGTTATGAATGAGAAGAAGCTGGATGTCCTGGCTTTAAGTGAAACAAAGCTAAAAGGGGGTGGGAGAGTTTCAATGGAGAGGAATAAATGGGATTAGGTCAGGGGTTTCAAATAGAGTTAGAGCTAAAGAAGGAGTAGCAATAATGTTGAAGGATAAGCTATGGCAGGAAAAGAGGGACTATAAATGTATTAATTCAAGGATTATGTGGAGTAAAATAAAGATTGGATGTGAAAAGTGGGTTATAGTAAGCGTGTATGCACCTGGAGAAAAAAGAAGTGTAGAGGAGAGAGAGAGATTTTGGGAAATGTTGAGTGAATGCATGGGGAGTTTTGAATCAAGTGTGAGAGTAATGGTGGTTGGGGATTTCAATGCTAAAGTGGGTAAAAATGTTATGGAGGGAGTAGTAGGTAAATCTGGGGTGCCAGGGGTAAATGTAAATGGGGGGCCTTTAATTGAGCTATGTGTAGAAAGAGATTTGGTAATAAGTAATACATATTTTATGAAAAAGAGGATAAATAAATATACAAGGTATGATGTAGCACGTAATGAGAGTAGTTTGTTAGATTATGTATTGGTGGATAAAAGGTTGATGGGTAGGCTCCAGGATGTACATGTTTATAGAGGGGCAACTGATATATCGGATCATTATCTAGTTGTAGCTACAGTTAGAGTAAGAGGCAGATGGGACAATAGGAAAATGGCAACAACAAGTAAAAGGGAGGTGAAAGTGTATAAACTAAGGGAGGAGGAAGTTCGGGTGAGATATAAGCGACTATTGGCAGAAAGGTGGGCTAGTGCAAAGATGAGTAGTGGGGGGGTTGAAGAGGGTTGGAATAGTTTTTAAAAATGCAGTTTTTAGAATGTGGGGCAGAAGTTTGTGGTTATAGGAGGGTGGGGGCAGGTGGAAAGGGGAGTGATTGGTGGAATGATGAAGTAAAGGGTGTGATAAAAGAGAAAAAGGTAGCTTATGAGAGGTTTTTACAAAGCAGAAGTGTTATAAGAAGAACAGAGTATATGGAGAGTAAAAAAAAGGTGAAGAGAGTGGTGAGAGAGTGCAAAGGAGAGCAGATGATAGAGTGGGAGAGGCACTGTCAAGAAATTTTAATGAAAATAAGAAAAAATTTTGGAGTGAGTTAAAAAAAGTTAAGAAAGCCTAGGGAAAGTATGGATTTGTCAGTTAAAAAACAGAATAGGGGAGTTAGTAGATGGGGAGAGGGAGGTATTAGGTAGATGGCAAAAGAATATTTTGAGGAACTTTTAAATGTTGAGGAAAGAAAGGGAGGCGGTAATTTCATGCACTGGTCAGGGAGATATACCATCTTTTAGGAGTGAAGAAGAGCAGAATGTAAGTGTGGGGGAGGTACGCGAGGCATTACGTAGAATGAAAGGGGGTAAAGCAGCTGGAACTGATGGGATCATGACAGAAATGTTAAAAGTAGGGGGGGATATAGTGTTGGAGTGGTTGGTACTTTTGTTTAATAAATGTATGAAAGAGGGAAGGTTCCTAGGGATTGGCGGAGAGCATGTATAGTCCCTTTATATAAAGGGAAAGGGGACAAAAGAGTTTGGGAAAAATTATAGAGGAATAAGTTTATTGAGTATACCAGGAAAAGTGTACGGTTAGGGTTATAATTGAAAGAATTAGAGGTAAGACAGAATGTAAGATTGCAGATGAGCAAGGGGGTTTCAGAGTGGGTAGGGGATGTGTAGATCAAGTGTTTACATTAAGCATATATGTGAACAGTTTTTAAATTAAAGGTAGGAAGTTTTTATTGCATTTTGTATTTAGACAAGGCCATGATAGAGTGGATAGGGGAGCAATGTGCAAAATGTTGCAAGTTATGGAATTGGGTGGAAAGTTACAAAATGCTGTAAAGATTTTTTTATGAGGTTTAGTGAGGCCTCGGTTTTAGGGTGTGTAGAAGTGAGGAGAATTCCCCGGTAAAAAGTAGGCCCTTAGCCCAGGGATGTGTAATGTCCCATGGTTTGTTTAATATATTTATAGTGGGGTTGTAAAAGAAGTAAATGTGGGTGTTCGGAGGGGGGGGTTTAAAATTTTATGGGAATCAAATTCAAAATGTAAATTACACAGTTCTTTTTGCTGATGATACTGTGCTTATGGGAGATTCTAAAAAAAAATCCCAAAGGTTAAGTGGATGAGTTTGGTAATGTGTTTTAAGGTTAGAAATTTGAAAGTGAGCATAGAAAAGAGAAAGGGTTGGGGTATCAAATGATTTAGATAAGAAAAATTGGTTATAAAAATTGGGGGGAGGGTATGGAAAAGTAAAATGTTTTCAGATCTTGGGAGTTGATGTGTCGGCGGATGGATTTATGAAGGTTGGGTTAATCTAGAATTTGATGAGGGAAAAAGGTGGTGGTGCATTGTTTGTATATGTGGAGTCAAAAAACGTTATCTATGAGGCAAAGAAGGGAATGTATAAAATTATTAGTACCAACCCACTCTTATATGGTGTAAAGTTTGGTGGTAAATGCAGCACGAGAGACGGTTGGAGGCAGTGGAGAGGCCCTGTTTTAAGGGCATTTGTGTGTAAATATTTTTTGCAGAAAATTCGGAAGTTGTGGAAATTAGGAAAAGGTGTGAGTTAATAAAAGTATTAGTCAGAGGCAGAGAGGGGTTGTTGGGGGTGGTTGGGTTTCATTAGAGAGAATGGACCCCAAAGTAGAATGAAAAGGAAAGCATATAATCTATAGGGAAGGGAAAGGCGAGTGGGGTCGTCCTCGAAAAGGTTGGAGAAAGGGGGTATAGGAGTTTTTTGGGCAAGGGGCTTGGATTTCCAGCAAGCCGTGCGTGAGCGTGTCGATAGGAGTGAATGGGATACCATTCGTCTCCATTCATTAACACATCACGCACACTTGCTGGAAGCCCAAAGCCCTTGCCACAAAACCTTTTACCCCTCCCTCCAACCTTTCGAGGACGACCCCTACCCGCTTTTTTCCACTACAGTTTATAGCCTCCAGTCATTCAAATTTTGATCCCTCTCTAAATGACCAAAACCACCTCAACAAACCCTCTTCAAGACCTGACTAATACTTTTATAACTCCAACACCTTAATTTCCATACGCCGAATTTTTCTGCATAATATTTACACCACTTTCCCTTAGACAGGACATCTCCAAACTGCTCCAACGCTCCTTGCTGCGCATTTAAAACCCCAAAGCTTACCCCATATAAGAGTGTTTGGTACTAAATTACTTTCATACATTCTTCTTTGCCTCCATAGATAATGTTTTTGTCTCCAAATATACTCAACACACCTACTCCACCTTTTTTCCCTCATCAATCTATGATTCCCCAAACTTCGATAAATCATCTGCTGATACTAACTCCATCATACTGAAAACATTCACTTCCTCCTCCCCAATTTGATAAAAATTTTTCTTATCTAAGTTGATTACCCTCATCACTTATCTATTCCTATGTTCACTTTAATTGAGATAAAGAATATTGTGAACTGCTACACACAGATCTACAAATTCAGAGAAACTACAAATAATGACACAAATTTGCAAAGTGGTTGTAAGGTACAACAGTCAACATTGTATTTTTTTATAAAGTGAACTTGGAGATCACAAGAACTACATTACCATTTCCCAGTAAAAATCTATAGCTCTCTATGTTCTATTAACATTAGGTGTAAAATGCCTTCGTGAGCTGTCAGGCAAAATGTTGCAGGATCAAAACAAAGTGGGAGTTGTACAGTTGCTCTTTGCTGATGACACTGTGCTTTTTGAGAATTCTGAAGGAAGTTGCAGAAGTTGGTGATGAATTTGTAGTGGTATGTAAAAGAGAAAATTAAAAGT